AAGGAAAATTAAATTGGTCTTCCTTTTAAGACATAGTAGTATATAACTTAATTTTAACTGCTATTAAAAAATTCTTCTTCCTTAGCTCATTTGAAAACTTCGTGTATTTCTTCTATACTTTAGAAATTATTCCAGAATATTTCTTAGAACTGAAAGCGTAAAAAGAGAAACTTTTTATTAAAAAAAAAAAAAAATTACCTAAAAATATAAAGAAGAAATAATATCAAAAGTAATTAATTTATCTAATCTGTTGAACTTTGAACATAAAAAATCGCCGTTTTGTTTTTTTGTCATTTTCGTCAAGAGTAAGACAGAAAAATGCAAATACATTTACATTTGATCGCAAGCGTAACGAAATTTCTATTAAAATAAAGCAAAAATTAATTCATCACTTAAGTATTTTCTGTAGGAAGAAGAAAACAACAAGAAGAAGAAGAAGACAAAGAAGACGACAAAAAGAGAAAGCTTAAATAACGATAGAATTTTGTTTTTTGTGAAGAAAAAAAAAATGAGAATCAAGTAATTTCGGTAAAAGGAGACATACACTCGCACTCGTTTACGTACACAAATGAAATTTAAAAGGAAATTGCAAACCATGAAAAATAAGAAGAAGAAGAAGAAGAATAAGAATGAAAAGAACAGAATTATGAATTATACATACAATGAAGAAACAAAAGTCTTTATTATAACAAACCAACGAAAAGTATGTGCCTTCTTTCTTCTGCTATATGAGTTCATTGTAATTTTTTGTAGAATAAAAGCATGCAAGCAAAGGAAATAAGTTTAAAATTTCCCTCACAAACGATAATGTAAGTTAAGTATAAGAAGGAAATCCAAGATATGTGTACGCACACAAAGTAGCGATAGTCAGCAGCAACCGCTTTTTTTTTTTGCGTTTTCTTTTTGCAAACAAAGAGCACAATTTATACATAAACTTGATGGCGTTGTGATACAGACATACTTACACTTAGGCATATGCATGCGAAGACATGTTCTTCATCGTCAAAGAAAAGTATAAAATCACTCGTTTTATATTTTGTCACGCATTGTGATTGAAGAAAGACTAAAAATGAATTTAGATAATAAATATATATATAAAAAAAAAAAAACTTTATACTTTATATAGTTTCTTCTCTTTCATATAAATTCAATGAAATTACAAGTATAATAATAAATAAATGGATCTAAAATAATGACAAATTTAAAAATCTTCGGGTTGGTTGTATATCCTGCCCTTTGCAAAGCTAAAGAAATAGTAAGTAATTAATAGGTTATAGAATATATAAATCGAGAAAATTTGTTCTTTGGAACCTTAAGCCATTGATGCATCATTGTACTCTTCGAAGCCCACGATATTTTCATTGAATTTTTGCCAGGCCTTTTATAGGATTCTCTTTACTCGCACTAATCCGAAAGGTACTCTCAGCGCCAAAATGGCTAATGTGAGGCACGAAAAAAAAGAAACGTAGAGTTATAGGTAAGGGCGGCGAGAAACTGTTGTATATGGGTAACAAAAACAATCTAGTGCTTTGCTTGATCGGCCGTCCTTTCTTTCTAATGCTGCTTTGATTAGTCTCCTATACTTTTCTTTACTGATTGATTAGAGATTAAGAGTTAATAACGAACACAGAGCTCATTACCAATCGAGTCTGGAAATAATGAAAACCATAAAACTGACAAAACTCCGAGAACTTTACGATACGACACCGTTAACCGACCAAGCCAAAAGGAAGTGTTTGCTCTTTCTACAGCCAATTACCAAAATCAGCTATAGCGAGAAGTTTCTGTACATTTTTACAAAGATTGTTAGTGCTTTTAACGAATTGTGTTCTTTCGCAATGGACCTGATTCAAGGCCATTCGCCCCTTCGTACAAATAAAAAATCATTAACGAGAACAGCATGTGGAAATGATTCTAGCCTTGCGTTTCTAGTACGATTGCGAATATGGTCATGCAGCATAGTTTATTTTAAAACGGGAATTGCCTCAAAAGTCACGTTTTATGCAGCCGTCATAAACAATTTGGTTTTCAAAATCCATTTGCCATAAAACTTTGCTTGTTTTTTTTTATTTTCATTTTGAACATAGTACTGTGTCCAAAAAGTAATTTTTTCTTTTTCAAATCTGACGATTAAATATATTCTTTCCGAATGCTCGACTAGACTAGTTTTCCCAGCAACTAATCTCCTGAATACCTTAAAAATACCTTTAGAATGTAATATCGACTAAAGATTTAATTTTCTTAAAGCTGTTAAACTAATCATCTAATCTACTTAAAAAAAAAAAAAGAAGAAGAAGAAAAGCTGATACTCTTAGTCTCTATTGCTCATCCTATTCTTAGTCCTGGAAATCATTCAGGTTTAAATAAATTACAATAGCAATAATAATAACATAAATAATATCCATTCCGTCGCCTTGCCTAGTAGACGATAAACTCAAACCACACGCCTTATTAACAGCTTGGCCCAGCGGAAAAAATTCATAGAGCACAACCGTATGGAAGAAAACTTTTGACATCGCCTTGAATCGTACTTTTCGCACGATACTCGCTGGATTGAACAGTTGTGTGCGGGTCGTATGCGTGGATCCATGTCGTGCCTCAACCGGAAAAAATAGTGCTCCACTGAATCACTACTGGCGTTTACGATATGAAATTTAGCAAACGTGTTTGGCACTTTGCCACGAATTTAAAAATTTTTGAATTCTTATAGTTGCTATACCGGCGGAATATTGGTCTTGCCTTTTGGTTATGCTATGGGCAAGTCAACATGCTCCAGGTAATTTTTAAATAGACTGGGTTTGTCAAATACATCTAAAACTGCATGAACTAACAAATGAAATCGAAGAAATACGCGACTGGGAAAAGCTTTAAAAATATTTTCGAAATTATAAAAGTTATGCAAAATAAAAGAAAAAAATATCTTTTTCCAAGTCCGCTCGATAGTACCCCTGAAGCAATTTAATCTCCTTTATCTCTTAACATTAGTTTGACTGAGCGCATTGCATTGAAGCTACGTATTATGAAATCCGTGTCTTGCTCTTATCTACTATTCTACTAAATTATATTTGATAACAGTAAGCTTATCAAATACTCTTCTAAAGCATTACTCCTCTTCCTCTATATGCTGTGTGTTTATTATGAAGGAAACAATTTGTTTAGTTTTAACTGGAATTTTATACTTTGACAAGAAATTCATTTCAAATCTTCTTTTTTTTATTTTTTATTTTTTTTTTTATTTTCAAGTTTCTTCATAAAAACAATGCAATTGTAAATGAAAAATATATCTCTTAATATTCATATTGCTGCAGCATTCTCTAAAAATTCTTAACTAACTTTTACTACTACTTTCAAATAAAATGCACAAAAATGTATTCATATAACGATGTAAGCTTAAAAACAAAAAAAAAAAAAAAGAATAAAAATAATAATAATAATAATAGTAATAATAATAAAGAAAACAACAACAATACCTTAGCAAATATGAACAGAAACTAATTGCATTTGATGTGCGGTGCGAATATGACTTTTTATCTAAAGCGTTTGCACACACATATGCAATATGCAATATGTATGCTTGTTAATATGTACGCAAAGAAACAAGGTGCTTGGGTAACATTTATCTGACTATTGTGTATAGTTAGCTGTATGCAGATGCACAAGCTTGCAAACTTTTTGATCAATTCTCTTTTTCTGACTTTTTTTTTTCATTTTCCCAGCAGAAGTAGAAAATGAAAGTTTTACTTCGTTTATTTCACTTAAGATGAATGCATGAATTTAGACAGTTAAAAAGCAATAGATAGGTAGATAGGTAGATGCAAAAGATACAGCAAACGCAAAGACATGTGGAAACGTGTTAAACGTAAATGATTTTTAAAAAGTTTACGTCGATTCTTTCAAGCTTGCCATAGCAACCGTTGCTTCATTAGTAGCAAAACTTTGGAAAATTTCTTAATAAAGTTTTACGGTCTGAAATCCGTTCGAGGGCATTGCTTTAATGCGCCTTTCCAAAGAAACAAAACAACTTTCTGAAAACAACATATCCATTAAACTAAGCGCTATCTTGCGAAACTATTTTCGTAGAAATACACGATTCTTAGGAGAAATTTCCATAATTACAGTAAATTGAATTCTGTTCGCATTGCTTGATTAATAGTTCAAGCGATGACTGATGGTACGTTCTACCAAATTCATTTTCCTAATCTTCAAGGCACAGGCGCGATTACCTTAGGTTGGGAAGGATGAAATTTATAGTTACTTATATTACCGAAGTTAGCAGCTTACTCCTTGACATTGGCATAATAATGCATCGGTTTGTAGGATGACGCATAGATGTTCCCACTAGTGACGAACTCATGTGACTTTTAAATAGTGCTAAAATGTCATGACATTCCGTCCATTAGGGCGATCAACGGGGCGATAATCGAGAATCAAAAGTCAATACTGACAACCTAAGAATCTCTGCTGAGTCTGCCTCATCTCGCAGTGCCCATGAATTATTTATGAAGCCTGGAAATCGGTGAAATTCGGGAAATTTCGATGGGGTGCAAACTTCATCCATGACGACCTGATATTATGATGATTTATCAGCATATGTTGTTCTGGATACAATTTATTGCTTAGTTGAGTGGTGTGGTAACGTCGCTTCCATTATATTATATGCATCGATCTCTCTTTCCTGAAAATCTCTTCTACATTTTGGGCAATGTTTTGTTGTACAACGTATACGAATCTCTCTTTCGTTCAGAAGTAGTCATAATAACGCATATGTTGCCACTGTTCGAAAAAACACTTTAAATAAAAAACGCACTGTCGACGAAGCTCGTCTACGTTCGCGTTCTCACTAACAAGGCAGATGGGGTATAATAAATTTACATAATTCTTTAAGTTAAAATTAACATTAGTACTTAGAATGTAAAATAATATGTAACGATATGTATTTCGTCAGTTGTATCTCACAATGTTCTAATTTGTATCTTTCATCTTTTTTGATATCTTTTCAGAGCAATTTCATATTTTTGTAGGTGATCTTAGTTCGGAAATCGAAACTCAGCAATTACGTGAAGCGTTTGCACCGTTTGGGGAAGTTTCGTAAGTATTTGGATCCCTCTCTCTATGTTCTTCTTACGTGCATATAAACAAAATGCTTTCTACTTTTGAGTTTCTAACCTAACATGAGGTAAAGTCTTCATTTCAAATCTTATTCTTTTTTAAAAAATTCAAACGGTTTTTTTTTTTCTTCTTTTCCCTTCATATTGTTGCCTTTCATTTTCTTTGTAATCTTCCAGTTGTTTTTTTTTTTTTTTTTGTTTTTCTTTGATTTAATAATACTTCTCTGTGTACTCTCTATCTGTAGTCTTGTTTTTTGGGGATCTTTGTAAAAAACAAGTACGATTCCTTTGTATTTAACGTTGGCGCAAGAATCTTCTTTCATGCTGTTCTATGCATCTCCGTTCCATGGCTTTTCATTTTATTAGCATCGGGTCATGTTGCCTAGCAGTAAATTTTCTTTCGCATTTTTTATATAACACACAGACACAAACATATATATATATATATATATATATATATATATATATATTTATATATATATATATATATATATATATTTATATACATATATATATATATATTTATATACATATGTATATATATATATATATATATATGTGTATAATATGTGTATAAATGTGTACGAAAGATACCTAAAAGGCATATTGTCTTGTTTATAGCTTTAGTTTGTAAAAGTCAAGTTAAATACAGAAAGAATGGGAATCGTGTAGAGCACAAAAAAAAAAGAAAAGAACTTTGGACTAAAGAGGTGAAAGTACATATATACTCTTAAATTAGAATGTGTTTTTATCAGTCTCAGTTAGTTATATTTGTGATTTTCTCTTTGCGTTTTATACAAGGGAAAAAAAAAACACATTTTTTTTTTTTAAACATTTTTATTATTAAATTATAAATATAAATTTTCAGGGTTTTTTTAATAAAAGTTAAATTTCTTTCCACAAGTTATTCTATTCTAACATCTGTTGTCTTTTTGTCACCACGTATATAAGCGGTGATGAAAAGAAAGCTGCTTCCAACAAACGGACCACCTTTGGTCCCTTTAAAATAGTTCCCCGCCGTTTATGCAAACAATCAATCACCAATCAAAGGAAATGCTATTCAGAGCAAGTATTGAATAGGGAGTGGGAAGTGGGAAATGTGGCGGACTCTAAATCCATTCTTTCAAAACGAGTTGCAACAGAGAATAGCCGAGCGTAGTAGCAATATATCGAGAGATAACGTGACACTTCTGCTTGTATTTATCAACTCACTTAAATCAATCAGTCGGTGTCGGCAACCTTCTTCAGTGATGTTTTCGCTTGGATGAAGCAACTCACCATATATTTTTTCTTTTTTTTCTTTACTACGATCAAACGCTCAAGACAGGTTCCCTATGCATGCAATACGAACACCGTCAAAAAGGAAAGAAAGGAAAAAAATGAGATGGTGGCCAATAAATATGTCTACCGACTAAGGAATCACTATATCTAGGAGCTAAGAACGCTCTACCTCACTTACACTAATCAATGGCCACCGCCATTAATTTTTGGACTTGTGCCAAGGCGCAGTTCTCTACCTCCCCACAGACTATGCTACCATGGGTCCGTTTTGACAACTCCTCACGATTGATTTGCATTTTAGTTTAGATTACATAGAAGTAGTGTTTGCTCAAGTCAGTCCTTTGTTGTCCCTTCTGATGGGACAAGTCACTAGCGCGTCATGTTAAGAGCGCTTTACTAAACGCCATCGAAGAAGTACTTCTCCAACTCTATAAGAGTTTGCTTTTTTAATAAAGTCAACAGCGCATATACATTTTGCGGGTGTGCGGTGTTTACGTTTTTACGTATGGGCTTTGTCGTTTTTTGAAAGTAAAGCTTTCATGGTATCAGTATTAGAAACGCAAACATACTAACGAATTCTTCAAAAATGTAGGCCCCGTATACGTACACATGATGATATCTATAATGTGTCTTGAGAGTGCAGTAGCTATTCTTGCCTAAAACAAAGGTTGATAGCCCATTATTTTACCTTGGGGAAGAAATATGGATGGATGGCAGTGGCTTTGGTGCATAAGGCAGACGTTTTCAGGTTTTTCCAAATTTTCGTCTTTTCTTTCAACTTTTTATTGTTAGGAATATATTTTGATTCGCAAAGATTCAAGTCTATATCCCCAAAAAAAAAAAAAAAAAAACAACTGACGGCAATTCCAGAAAAAAGAATTTCATGCCTTTAATTTCATGCCGAATTCAAACACGAACTTTTTGAATTGTCATCCGTATTACAATCGTTTGCTAGAGAATTATTATATCACTGCAAAATTAGAAAGGATGTCAACTTTGCCTTCTATATATCTTAGTTTATAAACTAAGTCGTTCATTGCACACACTTTCAGTTAATTTAATTGCCTGTTGTAACGATAAAAACGCATCCTATTCTCTGGAAATTGCAAAAGTTGTAGTGAATTTTAATTTTCAAGTTTTTTCCTTTTTGTTTCCGTATTGCCAATTATATTTAATGAATCTTTTACTCTGACAGCATATATAAATATACGCTTGTTTGATACTTTGCCTCCCTTTGTTAGTGCCGGTAGATAAGTAAGTAATTTAAATTGTGTTTATTCCCCTTTCAAATTCAATAAAGTGTATATAATTTGTAGTTTTGAACTAAAGAAGTGTCTACAAATAGTTCTAGTAAGAAACGTATAGCACACCACCATTGCGTACAGCAATGCATACAACAATTAGTTGTGAACTGAAAAACAGCTGTGCTAACATAAACGTAGCAAGGCGAACGGCGCCCTAAGCGTAAACACTGGCGCATACACCTCTCGATCTTAGGAAGTCAATGTGGACCAATGCTAATGAGGACCATCGTTAACCGTTCGGGACTACACTGAAACCAATTTTGGAAATATATTATACTACATACGCTAAGCTTTAATTAGTTTTGAAATTTTTACTTCCCTGAAAGGGATAAAGTAGTCGTCGGTACACGATTAGCTTGCATAGATTGGTCAAAAACATATGTACTTTACGCTTGCCAATGTAAGTGTCTAGCTATGGAAGGATGTTCGTTCGAGGTTAGCATTTGACGACCATACGAATCGCGTACAATTAGTGTTCGACTCGGTTTTATATCATACGTAGGGGCAGCGAGTCGTTATCTCTGATGAGAGTTTCTATTTTGTTAACACGGAAGGACAAGTTTTATACAACTACATCTGTCATTATCGATAGAGAGATAACTAATGTGTGTTACATGACGTAGGCAAGCTTCACAGAAAACTCCTTATTTTAAATGAAGAAGATGTCGATAAGTCAAGTCTTCTTCCTTGTGAAAAGACGTCGCTACGCTCATGTCAATCCTAACCTCGTTCCACTAATACATATCCAACAAATATCGAGAAAATCAAGTTCGAAGCATTTGCCAAAATTCTCCTTGACTATACTCTATCGCAACGCGTACCCAATCCTACGGACATCTTGAAATCTTCTGAAATGTTAAAATTGCTGGGCTAACGCAATCCATTTTATCTTTTAAATGCTAGTCTTTGAATTTTTTTCTTTCTTTTCTCGTGCAATGTTTTAGATTTCTATATTCTTACGGTATATCAGACTCCACACCTTTTACATGCAATTAACAACAGTGCGGAGGACTATTTCCCTCTATCCATATTTTTGTGTATTGGTTTTCTCTTAATATCTTCTTTTTATACCCATGATCGAAGGATGGAGGATATGTTCATATGGTCAAAACGTTCACAACGCCCAGAAGGAAGCATCAGAGACCCTACAAAGTATATATATATTCTTGGTCAGTGTCAAATTCGAAAACGTCCGTCTGTACAGTGTCTATTGTAAACATTATCTTGGCTGCAAAAATGAAGCTAACGACTTCAAATTTGGCAAAAGCTTCGAAAGCTTTTGCACGGAAGTTAGCATTAGAAAGGGGTCAAATCAGTCGAAAAACACGCCTACAGTATCAGTAATGTGAGAACACCTCTGTTTTTCAAGGGAAATAACATATTGGTTCTTTGATCACTATTCATAAACTATAGCAGATGTACATACAATAATTTGAACGCATATTACATGGTCGATGTTGCCGTAACTGTGTAAAAAACTTACAATGACTGCCCAATATTGAAGAGTCTCTGAATTTTATTTTGTTTTAACGCGCAAAAGCCCCATAAAATATGTAAATTCTGGGCCAGTTTCAAATTCAGTATGCTCTCAAGCATGTCTGTCCGGTCATTTGGCCGTCTGCGCAACTGCGTAGTATCCGTGGTAAACATTCTCCCATTCGCAAAGAAGAAGATATCGGTTACAAACTTACGGACAACATTGAAACTGACCGAAACTTTTCAAAGGACACGCCTACAACACCCTGTGTCCCATGGTAACACCATGGTATTCTTTGTTTACGTGGTTTTTGTTCGTTACTCATATACTGCGACAGAAATAAGATTACAATTTCCACACTCACTCACCCTTACAGAATATGAAAATTTACTTCTTTTCCTTTTTTTTAATCTTCGTTAAGATAACGGTGGCGGGTATTAAAGATTCGGTTAAATATTTTAAATATTTTATTTCTAATTTTAGCTTTAAGAAGTCACCCTGATTTTCATCATATTTGCATATTAATTTTATTATTGTTGTATTTATGCTTTAACGTTATTTTTATATTTTAAATGTTATTTATTTTAAAGTTTATTGTGCCAATTTTCGAAATATATTTTTTATTTTTTATTAACGATAAAAAAAATATATTTAGCTTTAACTAATTAAATTAATTTATCTTTTTATAAACAGCATTTAATATATAAAA